TGTTCTTCGCATTTGTTTGTTTGGTGTATAAATTTCATGTCACACACTCACTAGATGAACGACCCCAGGGTCACGCTGTCATTCTATTCGTTCTCTTTTGAATATGGAGGCCTTCATTAATAATGGCTGATCCATGACCTCTGACCCTAGTTCTGACCTCACGTGGTCTCAATGTTGCATTAAGGCCACTAGAGTATATTTGGTGCCAAGCACTCATGTCAATCTAGTTATTTGAGATCTGTAAAGCATCTACTCAATATTCAGTTGCAGCAGTAAAGAGGATCCACTCAAGATAATGAGATTTTCAATCTAAACAAGCATGTTATTTATAAGTAGTATGTCTGCTTGCACTTGTCCATGAAGTTCACAAGGCCACAGGGTGTCCCATATGCAATCTTTCGCCAAGCCCACATTAATACAGACTCTTCTAGGGTTGGGTAAAAATATAGATTTTCTCATTCTCAATACTGATTCTTAAAGGGACAGTTCACCTGAGAATGAAAATTCTGTATTCGTTTACTCACCCTCATGTCATTCCAAACCTGTATGCTTTTTTTCTGTGGAACAGATAGAACAGATAAATCTTTTCTGTTCTGCAGAAGGTTTAGAATGACATGAGGGTGAGTAAATGATCACAGAACTCATTTTTGAATATTTATGTTTACGTTTTTTTCCACCAGTGTAACCTGATTCCCCCAAAAATTACTCTTTTATTTTTTTTAATTGTTTAAAAAACACTGAGATTTTTTTTCATATGTAACCAAACTGACATTACTGAAATATACCCAAAAGAAATCAGAACTCAATCTAAATGAATCAAAATCAGAATCAAGTTGAATTGAGAGATTGTGAATGCCAGATATGAAAGTCAGCCGTTTAGATACATTTGTTTGTGTGTGTTTATGAACCCATAGGATTAACCATTGTTTGATGAGTGACATATACCATACGGCACTCCACTAATCACAATGACACAAGAGCGGAACGATTAACCTGTGACATCGTGAATACTTTCCACATATCATACTTGTTAGACAAGTACACTCTCATCCAAGACCGATAGTCCCGTTCTCACTCACTCATGTTCGGTTGCTTTCTTCTATCCACACATCCGTCCTCAAATATCTATACCTAAACCCAAGCCTCTTTTTTTTCTAATCTACTGCTGAATGTCCTTTTCCAATGTTTCTGAAATATGGACATGCCTCCCACAAACACCAATATGTTTTTAATGTAGAGAACCATATATCTTGTCTCTTCAAGAAAATTTCACAAGGAGTGTTTTCCATGGGAAACTCACAGAGAGGTGGCTCTTATATGCATGTTTTCTCCCCTCCTTCACCTTCATCCGTCTTTTGAGGCGTTTGCCAAGCCAGCACAGCTTGAAGTCCTGGCAGGCCATTGTTTGTCTGTGATGTTAATGCTTCTGGGCAGACATTCTTTTGGAAGGGGTGAATGAGTGATATCTGAGGCGTTGGGAGATGTACTGTTGCCTCCCCACTGAATGATGGGACAACTGCTCCACGGCTGGCCCGAGAGCTGTAACCCGAGGAGGAGATCCTCCATCTGTGCCACTGTGAAAGGCCTGGAGGGCTCAAGGCTTAGCTGACCTACACCCCTGGGAGTCACGTCAGTCATTGCCTCAAGCGCGCCCTCTGCAGGAATTTGTAAGGTGGTGCGCCTAAAGGGATAGTTCACCCCAAAATTACTCACCCTCATGCGGTTCCAAACCTGTATGACATTCTTTTTTCTAAACACAAAAGGAGATATTTTGAAAAAAAATTGTCCATACAATTAAGTCAATGGAGTCCAAAACAACATCTGCAAAATATATTCTTTTGTGTTCCATATAATAAAGAAAGTCATACAGGTTTGGAATGTTGGAGCATTTGAATTATCATTTTGGTGAGTTTTCCCATTAAAAAACAATAATGCTGTTTTGTCCTGAGGCATGTCTATGTCAGCTTGATATTTTTGCCCATTTCTTCAGTTCTAGGGAAAATAAATGCCAGCTTCTTAGAGTTCTTTTGATTTAATTGGCTTCCGTTGGAAATTCTTGAGTGAAGAGCCTCCTTCATTTTTCATTCCATTGTTAACTCTGAGGAGTCTGACCTTGGGATGAACCAGCTTTAATCATGTATTCCATGAGCCCTCTGCCTCCCGGTGTCCTGCCTTTCTTTAAACTCAGGTCTGCCCCGGTCATCACCCATAACCCTCTGCTTGAACACGTAGAGAAAGAGCGATGGAGAGAATCAACTGAATAGGAGGATTATTGTTATGGGAGGTTTTTGTTGTAGGACTTGTTCTGATGCAGCCATGTGCCATGTTTGTGTTAGTAGCCTTGATAGAAACAGCTAATGAGCTTCTTTTTTAATCCCAATGATGAATTGGCACAGCATTGTGTGGTTTATTGACCAGCTGGCCCATCGCTCTTCAAGCGCATGAAAGAAAGCCCAACATTGATGAGCTGTTTGTCTGTTATTGGGTTTAATGGGGTCAGATATCTTTATAACCCACTGGAGCTCATCTGATACACATTGAAAATGAAATGCTGAGGTGGCATTTGATTTAGAGGCCACGTAAGAATATTATAAAGTGACACAATGTGACTCAATCCTCTCACTCATTGATTTTTCTGACACCGACATAGAAAAGCACTCTGTTGCCTTTAGGTGTTGTTGTCCAGAGAGCTAATATGTTGTTGTCTGGTCCTCTAACTTTGTGACCCAGGGGAAATAGTTATTTAGTATCATCTAGCAGAGATATTTCACATGATAGACAGGTGAAAGGACATGAGCTTTGACTCAAATCACATTTCACAGTGTATTTATGTGTTTGGCAGATGCTTTTATCCAAAGTAACTTACATTGCATTGAAGATTTACTTTTTTTTTTAAATCAGTTCACGCATTCCCGTGAAATGAACCCATGATCTTTGCATTGATAGAGCCACGACTCTACTATTTTGTGACTAATTTAGAGCTTAGTTTAAGACGATGAATGAAAAAAAGGGTGACACTCTAAAGTAAGGGCCAATTTGTTTACAATAGTTAATGCATTAGGTATCATGAACTAACAATAATGTTACAGCAGATAATGTAAATATACTGTTTATATTGTTTATTGTCAATTCATGTTTGTCTATAATACTTTAAATAATATAAAATTACACTACAGTTCAAAAGTATGGGAAATTAATACAGCAAGGATGCATTTAATTGATCAAAAATGACATTTGTAATGTTACAAAAGTAAATAAATTCTGTTCTTTTGAACTTTCTATTCATCAAAGAATCCTGCAAAAAATGTATTATTGTTTCTACAAAAATATTAAGCAGCAAAACTGTTTTCAACACTAATAAAAATAAGTAATGTTTTGACTCCAAATGAGCATATTATTGAAGGATCATGTGACACTGAAGACTAGAGGAATGGCTTCTGAAAATTCTGATTTGCCATGACAGGAATAAATGACATTTTAAAATACTGTAAAATAGAAAACCGTTATTTTTGTAAGATACATCTGTCAAAAACAATAAATCACACCACCTCAAACTTGTGGTTGAACAAATGGTTTGGAATAACTTGAAATGTTAAATATTTGCTGGTATACGTAAAATTTTAATTAACCAACATTTATAAATGCTAGTTTATTAAAGCTAATGCATTAGTGTTAAATAAATTACCTACGTTTTTCTCTAGACACCAGTTTTGGAAAACTGTAGAACTGTGTTGAATTTTGTCAATACTAGACTGAATCATTCCACTTTAAAAGATGACAGGAAACACAAGAAGCCAGTAAATTTAAATAAGGAAATAGCTTTGTTTTTGCCAGTACCCAATGACAAAGTAAAAAGACGTTTGCATGTTACACACTTTCAAATGCCAGATTTTGAGTTGGAAACATTGGACTGCGTGATCACTCAGGAAGTATGTTTTTCACAGCTGAGATTTTGCTTTCCATTCAAATGATGTAGCTCCCAAGAGTAGTAAACAATAGTTGTTCAAAAAAGCCCTAGTGCTTGCAGATTTTGAGCAGCATCTATACACATCCACACACACACTCTGCACACAATCCACCGCCAAGCCGGCCAAACCTACAGGGAAACTCAGTATTCCAGCAGTGCGTTTGAAATCCACATAATGATAATCTGATAGGTCTCGAGCTCCATCTGCTCTCAATAGTCTTTTATTGTCCGTAATGTGTGGAAATCTTTATGTCAGTGTGCCCAGCTGTGCTTCTGTCCACAGCAGGATCGCAATGCTAACCTCACATTAGCCTGGAAGCTCATCTGGCTCTCCCCAGGGTTCCTGCTGGGTGTCCACAATTTTACACCCTGAAAATTCCCACCGAATCCTGGGCGTCCTTCACGTTTAATCCAGTCACCAGCCCACAATCACGTTCGCTCATTTTTGGTGTAAATATAATATTTTTTGCACTGACTCTAAACATAGCTGACCTGAGCATGTCCATCTTCACTAAACTCTTATGGAGCCTATGGGAGTCTATGTTTTTTAAATCACTTTCTTGTCGAAATGAAGTCGCATACATTCCATTGACATTCACATTTGGTTAGATCCTCAAGAGGTCATCTCGATTTACAATAAACAAGATGTAAATCTGGAATAGTTGGCCGTTTTGGCACGAGAGATGCACATTTTTTCTTCTAAAACATTCCTCGGAGTGCCATATTTCAAGCTGTCATCTCTCGCCCATGGAAAACTCATTCTTTCAGGCGTATTTAAAGCATCCACGTCAACGACAGGATTATGAATTTTCCTCGTGATCCTCAGTGAGCCCTAGCGGACTCGGATTGGATGATTTACGTGCTTTCACATTTGCGGTAATTGCTCTCAAATAAGTGGCTTCCTCCAGAAGTGGCCTTTCTGTGAAGTAGGGCCTCGATGGCTCGTAAAACATACGAATGAGAGTAACTGAATCGCTAATATTTCATATCATATATACTCACTTGCGGCCTCTCGCTTTTCTTTTTGTCACAGGTTCTACCGAGGAGACTACCACATTGATGTCTGCATTAACGATTATTTGGACGTATACTGTCCCCACTACATTGACACGGTCCCTGAGAAGAAAATGGAGCACTACGTCCTCTACATGGTCAACTACGACGGCTACAGCTCTTGCGACCACACGGCGAAAGGTTTCAAGCGTTGGGAGTGCAACCGGCCTCACTCGCCCAACGGGCCGCTGAAGTTCTCTGAGAAGTTTCAGCTTTTCACACCATTCTCACTGGGATTTGAATTTCGGCCAGGCAGAGAATATTACTATATCTGTGAGTATCATGTTGATTTTTCTTTCTTTTTTTTGTGTGAAGTGATTTGTATCTCAATTATGTTTTATGATTTCTATATCCAAAACCAGACGCTGTGCATGTTAAATAGATTTGTAAGATTGGCTTTCCGTTTATACATGGAAAAAGTTGCATTGCCTGGAAAAGGATGTTGTATTAGCGTCCTCACGGAGGATAACGCAACTCAAGTCTTGCATTTAATGGTATACTTTTAAGATTAATTACGAATTAATTAATTAGTCTGATTACGAGCATTAAGGAAGTGAAGGCATTGCCAAGTATGACTTTGTTTTTCAGGAGTCTTGGCAAACAGGCTACAAGGAAAACATGAACCTCAGGGAAAAACATCTTGGTCTTCCTCTAAAGAGTCTTTGTTACAAACTTCTAGTCTCAGCTTTCGTTTGCTCGTGAGAGGGCTCTTAAAAACAAGCATCTAAACCCATGTTTTTACAACTGGAGTCAGATCCCTACAGGGCGGGAGTGGGAAGACAAAATAAGGCACAGGAGTGGTCCGACTGCTCAGACTGCTCAGGGCCGCGATGGGTTCATTTATGCCGGCGCACACGTGAGATGTGGAGCGTTTAATTTGGCGGAATCCGACCTGATGATCTGACAGATCTCATGGGCGCATAAAACGATGGACATGTTTTTATGAGATGTGAAAGGAAGGAATAGGAGAATGAAGAGGGGGAAGTAATAGAAACAGTGGATAAGTGCATGGAGACTGAGAAAAAAGACAGATTGGAATGCACGGTACATAGCATTTAGGGGTTAGATCCCAGCAGGAGATATGGATGTTTTGCATGAATGTTTTGCATCTATCTGAGATGTTGCAACATAGTAAAATGTACTTTTTTCCCCGAAGGCCTGTGAGTAAGAATAATAGGATGGGAAACATCTCGACTAAAGTGATGGAGCTGTCAGATACTATGAGGGGTTTTACAGTTAATACGAGTTGGAAAACAAGGATTCATAGCGCACACGTCTCACTCCTGTGTGACTCAGTGTCATGATTCCACTGTTATGGGCTCTCTCAAGAGAAGAGGAAGTTTCTCCATTTGTACGGAATTACGAGTAAAGGAAACAAAATAAACAGCATGCCAGTCTGCTCAAGTTGAAGCATAGCAGTTTAGAGTGATTGCACAATGTTATCTCAAGTAGACAGCGGCTTTCAGTAACCTTGATCATATCAGGAACTGTTTTAAACTAGAAATAGAAAGCAGAAAATATTTGAGTATATTGTAATACCAAGCTATTTGAATAAATTAACAATTGAATTTTTATATATATATATATATATATATATATATATGCATAATTAAATAAAATAATAAAATTTAAATAGCATATTATTATTATTATTTTGCTTTAGTATTTCTCTTTTTTTAACAGCTTATAATATAAGGAATTTAAGGAAAAAAATTGTAATTAAAAAGAAATTGTTTTTTTAATATAAATTGATATTTTTTACTGTTACATTTTTACAGTATTATTTACAATTAACAATATGTACCATTTCATTTTCTATTATTATTTTAGCCATTTTTGTATAATTTGATACATACTGTGTAGAAAATAATTTCACAAAATTTATGTCGATATTTTGCTATAAAAACAGTTGCTGTTTTTATATTTAATTCATTTATTTTTTTACACAATTTGATACTGTATATATTAGATTTGTATAGATATTTTAAAATACATCATGTAGCCAGAGGCAAAAAAATCTATTCATTTTAAGTCTATTTTAACCAAATTTTCCTGAATCATTCTCTTCATTAGTTTGATGTCTGCCTGTCATGATTTGGTTAGACAGAATGTCTTTGTTAGCTGGTGTGGTGGCTAATCATTCTGAGTGAGGGGTCGCTCCTGGAGAGCAGAGGGGTAACAAGCGCAGGCTCTGTGCTGTCAGTCAGCGTGCCCGGCCCACTCAGGAAGCGATCAGGGGGGATCAGAGGGCCCAGCCCTGCAGGTCAAATGTGAACATGCTCTGATGGCTGCAGTTGAACTCACAATCCTGAACGGCTCAAGGCAGCATGTTTTTCCAATATGGCCAGTGTGGAAGTCTGATCTTAATCTCAGAGGATAGAAATCCAATTTCAAGGGAAGGTTTTTAGTCGGCCTCTCCCTCCTGCGTGAGCGGGGCCAACGGTAGTGCAGGCTGTCTGATATGAACCCGTTCAAAAGCCCACGACTGCTATTTGTAGTCTAGTCCCTCCATCTTCATAATGCTGTAAGGTAGACCAGAAACATTCCCACTTTGTGCTTAAAGCAAGACCTGATTTGTAGCTTTGATAAGAATCCTGTACTTTGCGGTTTGCTTATAAGTGGCGTAGTCGCTACCTGAGCCAAACTATTCCCCGCATTACAAAGCGCTCTCAAAGCACTCAAGAATGCGTGAGAAAAGAGATAGGTGTGCATCTTAACTCAAAGACAGAGCATCTTTCCCTCATTTATCAGACTTCTCGGTTACATCGCATCTGATCTCTCAACTCATAGCTGGAATAGTGGTGTCTGGGAGGTTTATTGCCCCTGGCTGGCTCGGGTGGAGAACTACACAGGGATCTGGTGTCGGCCGTGTGGGAAAGGAGACGTGGATGAGCAGCCCGGGCCATGACAGTGTAGAGTGTCTTTGAATAAGCAGAGTTGTTGTAGTAGTCTAGTCTTAATATCTGCCAATGAGAGGTCAGTTACATGCCGCATGCTGACAGCGAGGGAATTCTGATGACTGACAGAATGAGAGTTTGTCATATAAGCCACCCATGAAATCATCTTAATACGGCCGAGACTGTTGATTATTGTCACCGTTTATGTTAAAAAATTTCAGCGAGAGCCTTGAAATTAGAGATGTGTCTTTCTTACTGGCATTGAGCATTCAGGCAGTCACATTTACAGTAATTAAGGTCCAAAATTAACACGTCAAGTGCAATTTATAAGCAAAATGGCTTTGATGAGTAAACGAGTTACTTGCCAATGACGGGTAACTTTATAAGGAACTGTAAGAGTAACAGCCTGTCCTTGAACAAAACTGTTTACTAAAGAAACGTGAAATATTTCTTGTGATAGTGATAAAAGTGATAGTCCACCCCAAAATGAAAATTCATTCATCATGTACTCACCCTCAAGTTGTTCCTGTTTCTTTATTCTGTGAATCATAAAAGATGATGATTTTAAAGGGGTCATATGACGTTGCTAAAAAGAACATTATTTTGTGTATTTGGTGTAAAGAAATGTGTCCACATACTGTAAATTATTGTTTCTCCTCTATGCCCCGCCTTTCTGAAACAGTGCGTTGTGATTGGCCGAATTCCTCAAGCATGTGACGGAAATGTTACGCCCCTTACCATACTGTGATGCCGTGTCCCGGCGCGACGAGACAAAACCAATAAAACCCATTATAAATGAGGCACTTGTTTCATCCAGTGGGGACATAATTACTGATTATAATTACTAATTAAAAAATTGCGTTGCATCGCGCCTCGTAAACATAAAACCATGTCTGCATTTGTGATCGGAGAAATGACAAACAACAAGTGCTACTCTACACTGCTCAAAACTCGCGTTTGAATCGTCAGTGGCAAATCCTTTA